AAAAAACCCCAAAAGGTGACTTGAAAGTAGAAAAGGGACTATGTTAAGGAGGGAAAATGACCTGACAGAGCGGGGAAAGGAAAAGGCAGAAGGGAGGGTGGACATGATCAAAACATTATGTATGTATATAAATGTTTGATCCCCGGTAACAAAAAAAAAGTCACACTGAAACCCATTTAATTTGTACAATTAATATGTTGTAATAATTATGATAAAATCATTTCAATTTTAAAAAGGGTATCCCATTTAAAAAGACAGATATGGTAAAGTGATAGTTGAGACACTTTCTCTTTGCTTCTTTAATACCCTGACTAGTTTAATAAACATAGATCAAATACTGGACATTGAGATGTTGCAGCATCAGCATCCTTCTGTGGAAAGGGTTTTCTAAAGATAGAATCATGCTTCTGTATAGCTCTGGAAGAACAAGAGAAAGCTGCATAAAACCCAGTTTTTACAAGTCCTAGGAGACAGATGCTCCAGCCCAAAGATTTATTTATCAGTGACCTGTTTAACTGATTAGGATAAGTCCTTCAGTAAAACCATTTGTTTAAACTAGTTGTCCCATTCTCATCTTATATCTGCTTTAGCTAAAACTCGTTCCACTTAGTCTTCTTAGACAAAATTTTCTGAAGTTAACATGTTATCTTAAAATGTGAATCCTAATGAAGTAGAAGAATTGTAGTTACCAATTAAGAGGGACTAAATAAAGAAACAGTAAATTTAACAATTTTTCAGTAAAAAGGTGAGGAAGGTAGAAGTAATGATTCAACCTGAGGCCTAGGAATCATTCATACATGGCACTGGTCCAGGGAATGAAGTGCACCACAATGTCAAATTGAGTAACTCTGATCAGTAGTGAACCATAAAATATTATTTGAAATGAGCCTTACTTAATATTGTGGCAGGTGAAAATCAAAGGAGAGGTTATTGGTTATAAGTAATGCTCATCAGTTGATTGAGCATGTTTCTAAAACCTCTAAAGAAGTGTACACAGTGCACATCAGTAGGAAGAATGGCTGTGACCTGTCACCTCTGGGGAGATCTGACAGCTTTGGGAAAAGCTTGGCCTGCTTGAAACAAATGCTATACAGATCATCTGTAGGTAATGGAAAACAGGAATGTCTCCTGTGCATTAAAAAGGGTGGCATTCTATCTTGATGGCTGCTCTCAGAATATAGGAACCTAACTTTTATTGAACATAGGATCTTTACCATATTGCCAAGGCTGGCCTTGAACTCTAGGCTCAAGCGACCCTCCTGTCACTGCCTCCTCAGAAGCTGGGTCTACAGGTGCATGTCACTACACCTGGTCCACCTAACATGTCTTTTAGAAAATTTAAGTTTGTATTGGGGTTGTTTAGAAAATTTAATTTTTTTGAACATTAATCAAAGGCCATGAAAACAATCATTCTTATTTTTAATTCTTTCAACTTACAAATGGACAGATGAATGAATTGGGTACAACTGGATTTTTTATCTAATAAGTAACCAGAGAATAACTGTGGGTTGCAAAGAAAAAGTAATTAAAATAAGACTCCTTGGTGCAAGATACTGTGATTATTTCTAGCCTGTCTCTACAGATAGGAAGGAGGCTGGATTCCCAAGTTAAATTAGTAGTGATAGCTGAATCGTGGCTTAGTATCCTTTATATGCTAAAGGATATTCAAATAGTGTCTGCGTTATCACCATGCCATGCTTACAATAAGACAGAACAAGCAGCAATTTTCTTTAGAAGGAAATCCAAAACCTAGCTTGTTTCACTTGGATTTCGTTCATGATTTCTACCATGTGTTTAACCCACTCTGTTGCCAACATGACTAGGATGAGAATAATTTGAGGCTCTACAATCCTGTGTGATCAGTCTGGTTAAGTTATTATGGAACTGCTAAAGACACCCCATAGCAGGTTAGGAGCAAAAGACAGCATTCATATTCATTCAACTTTTATTGAATGTTTATAGCACAAAACAAGGTTCTAGATTCCATAAACATGAAATGATGTAGCATCCTGCCCTCAATGACAACAAGGAACTTATAGTCAGTGCAGGACATAAACCATCTGTAAAAATAATGGTACAACTGCTTTATGTAACAAGAAAACAAAAAAAGTTTACTCCTGACCTATTATGTATCAGGCAATGTGTTCGTGCCTATGACATCTCATTGCATCTTTGCAAAAACTCTGGGAGGTGGACTTTAGTGGAAACTGCCAAAAATCTTTCATAACTGTGGACATGTTATTAGGGAATAGGGCTGTAAAGTAATTCAATTTGTGCAGTGTGGGCATATGAAGACGAATGGAAGCTAAATTAGAGGTAAGTTGGAGACCAGGATATAAAGTGTGAATGCCGTTCAAGAGAGTTTGGGTTTTGTTCCTGGTAAATGGGAAGTTGTTCAAATGTCTTTAAAGTAGTCAAAAGCGATCAAGGCTGTGCTTTAGACAACTGCCTCTGGAAACCTGTAAAGACCAGGTGGCAAATGACAGGGACCTGATGCGTGGGGAGAGCTTTGGTTGGTGTTCGTATCTAAACAATTCAAGTTGGGAAGGTCTCTTCAGGCCTGCTCAGGTGCATGTAGGGTGGGGCCAGTAACAAGAAGACTCAGCTTGTTCTGTCACTCAAGATGGCAAAACTAACAGAGGGTGAATTGTGGACAAGTAATGCTTTAGATATACAAAGGAAAAAATAGCTCTGGAGTCCAGCTGACCTTGGTTTCAGTCCCAGTTCTGGGTGTTCTGGAACAATTTATTTACATAATCTTGCTGGGCTTTTGATTCCCTGTTATAATGCACCCACCTCCTTATACAATAGTTAGGGCAGGGGATTTAGCTCAGTGGTTTTGCCGTCTGCTGTGCAAGTGCAAGGACCCAAGTTGGATCCCCAGTACCAAAAAAAAAAAAATCTACTTTTCTTCAGAAAAGGCCCCTTCCCCACAGGGACAGACCAGTTCATTGATATCAAAGGTAAGGCAGATCATAAAAAGACTAGGGAGCAAATAGTTATCTAGACCTACAGAGCTATGGAATATTGAAACCACAGATGTGGTAGACAGACACTTCCATAAAGCCAGATAGGTCCTCAATATCAAGAAAGTTTTGGATTCTGCTCTTAGCAGCCACCGTTTTGCTTTTGCAGTAGTGTCCTGATTCTTTGCCATTTCCCCAGGCCCATGGTTTCAATGTGTTTATTGAAGTGTTCGACTGTTTTAAAAATGAAATATTACCATGAGGCCTAAGTTTAGAACAGATAAAAGCTGTAACTCCAGAGTGGGGATGGAGGCTGAGACGTCGCCCATGGTCTCCTTCCCTACCCCTCAGTATAAGCCCTGGTTTGAACACTGCTGCTTCAAATCTGGCCTGTTTTCAGCTTTCCTTTGGAATCTTTTGTTTTCTGCACTCGGATGGCAGCTGTTATCATTCCAGCTGCAGAGGGATGGAAGGCAACTTCCTGTTATTTTATCCTGCCATCTCTGTGGGGGTGGACATTCCTTCCCTCATCTCCTGCTGCTGGCTGTAGTTTTGGAAGAGTATGAGCCAGGAGGCAGTTATCCTGTTTCTAGGTTGGAAAAATGGCCTGTAGCCACTGTGTGAAGGCATGTGGGGACAAGTTAGGCAACAGGCACTGACAGACAAGTGTGTCCCTGACTGAGGGAGGATAGATTCATGACAATGAGGGAGGCTGCAGATATCTCAGGGACCTGCAGATATCTCAGGAAGTTAAGGGTTGATGAATGAACGATGAGTGCGTAGAACCAAACAGAGAAAACGATGACCATCGTAGAGGAAGAAGAAAACATAATTGATATTTTGAATGAAAGATTATTTGGGGTACAAACATCTCCACATCTGTAAAATCTCAATAATCCTTACACATAACCTTAGACATAGGTATTATCAGTACTATTTCAGAGGAGGTAACTGAAGTTTCAGATGGACGTTTTTGGATGACTTGCCCCAAGTTAACCGAAAGTAAGTGGCAAAGCACCCCCATCCCCTTTTTCTGTTTATTACTTTTTCTCTCATTGCTGAGACAAAATACCCAACATCCAAAGTTAGAGGAGAGAGGATTTAATTAGCTCATAGTCTGTAGAGGTCTCAGTCCATAATCAACTGGCTCCAAGGCAGAGTGGCACATGGAAGAGGGGCAAAAGTTCATGGTGGTGGAAGACCACAAAAACAAGAGACCTTAACAGCATCTTTCTGCCCCTTTTATCCCATCCGTACTACCAGGATTAGGGTGGTGCCAAACCACTCATGTGTAGTAATCACACACTGTTAATCCCAGCATCACACATTCCAGATTCAGCCACCTCTGAAAAAGAAAGCCCTACCTCATACATGAGGCTTTGTGGGGGGACATCTAAACAAACCATAACAAGCACATAGTTAAGACATGGCAGGGCCAGGGATTTAGCTCAGTGCATCTGGCGCCTGCCTTGAAAGCGCAATGACACGAGTTCAATCCCCAGTTCCCAAAAAAAAGACATGGCAGAGGACTTTAATTAGACTTTGAGAAGAGTAAGGGGTCAAGTGACATAAAAAGGGGAGAACACGAAGGAATCTGTGACTAGACCTTTTTGACTAGAGCAGAGGGACTCCCAGGAGTGAAGTGGGAGATAACGGGAATCAGCAAACAGAATCCCAAAGAGACAGTTTCAAGAGGCTAGCTGAGAAGCACAGGGAAAGATGTGGATAACAAAAACACTGTTTTAGAAAACTCATCTGGTAGTGGTAGAGAGAAAGAATTAAGAGTGAGGAATCAATGGAGTCAGGAATACAAGCAGGTGAGTTTGGAATTGTGTAGGTCAGACAAATAGCACAATAATAAGATAAAGGTAGGTGTGAGAGTAGTGGCCCAAGTTTGTTTTTTGAAGCATCATAGTGTTTGAAAGAATGTGTGGGTATGGACACTCAATTCTTCAGACACAGCAAGAAAAAATATTTTGGAGTCAAATTGTAATAGGCACTGCGAAGTGGAACTTTAATAGTTTTTTTGTTTTGTTTTGTTGTTTTTTTTCCTTTAAAGATAAATGGCTTCTTGAGGCCTAGGGCATAAACAGCTTTCCCCTTCTTGGTCCAGATGAATGAACAGAATATGAGGCTGACACCAGGAAGCCTGGGGGCCAGTTTCCTTTCCACAAGAAAGGGGACCATGGACTGAAGATGCCTAGAAGTGATAAAGTAAGTGAAAAGGTCTGAATTAGCTCCCTGTGCTCCCCTCTCCTCTGTCCCTTACCATAAAAGACCCCTGCCCACATGTACACAGTGAGATGGTGATTTGAGGCAAATAGGTGCCTCCATCTCCTTGGAGCCAGCCTTGAATAAATCCTTTTTCCTTTTTACCCATATATATGGACTCCTTTGACTTGATCAGTGTCAAGCAGACTAACCTGACTGTGAAACTAAGTGGCTGGTAACAAAATCAACCTTGGTTTCAATCTTTCCTAGGCGACCTGGAGTAATTTACTTATATAACCTTGCTGAGCCTTTTAATTCTTAGGTTAAATACAAGTAACACTCCGTGTGTAGGACGGTTGTGAAGGTTACCAGGGACACAATGGTGGGTTCCGGGATCCTTCTGCAGTTTTTGGCAGAAGACTGAAATGCATGACATATCATCATAGAACAATAAAAACCAACAGAAAGTCAATAATTAATTGATTGTACTTCCAGAATATGATGGGTAATATGCTACCTCTATCCCTTATACAAAAAGCCAGCTTCCCCCTATTTAAGTCTGTTTTAGGTCAAATATGGGGGTAAATTGAAAGAAGGTCTCCCTGAGAATCTTTGTTTTCTAGGCCAAAGGGGTTCTATTGGGTGATATCTCTCAAGGGTAAATGTTAACTCATTCCTATTCACTCTTAATTAACTACTAGCTCAGCCACTGAAATTGGTTCCATTCAAAAGTCATCATACTCACATGCTTTGTTGAACTCAGTTATGTGTTTTCTCCCCCTCCTCTTTTCCAATTGTGTATTAAAACAGCAACCTTAAGGTTCTTAAAAAGAATTCTTTTTAACTCTCAAAGATTCCATTTTATTTCCATGGGAAACTTGTATGGTGTGATTTTTCACAGCTAAAATCAAAAGCAGCCACATGGTTGATAACACGGACAGTTACCAATTCAGAGCTGGGTGGGCATTTCTGGGATTCCCTTCTCAGTCACGGCCAAGTTACTTCTGAAGTTTGAAGTTCTCTTCTGAGGGAACACACAGCGGCCCCGGGACGGAAGGGAGGAGCACGCCGGGCGCACCCCGCGGGTGCTGGGTTTAACTCTGGCCATTTTCCCATCACACGCTCCAGGGCTCCCAGCTGTCAGAGACACAGGAGCAATTGTTTTGTCTGAAAAGGGCGGCTTGAGTGGGTTGGTTCTGTTTCTGATCCCGGATATAGTAAACATCCCAAGGAAAGTTTAAAACACCCAGGTTCCGCCCCATCTCCTTAACTCCCTCCCTCCCTCGGGGACAGCAGGAAAGGCAGCGCTTCCTTCCACACCCACTTCCAGCCAGTTCTTGCAGGCCGCGGAAAGCGCTTGGCCCTCGACGCCGCTGAGTGACTCTCCGCGCGGCCAATCAGCGCGCTGGAGGCCGGCCGCCCCGCCCCCGGCCGCTCGGCGGCTCCTTCCTCTGGGAAGCGCAGAGCGGCGGTGGCGGAGGCACCTGGGCCGGGCGTACGGGCTGTAGCTGGGTGCGTACGGGCTGTAGCTGGGTCCGCCCGGATTCCGGTCTCCGGGGCCGCTGGTTGTGGACCTCGGAAAAGCCTTCGTGCCGTTCGCGCTGCGTCGGGGCTGTGGCTGGACGCTCGGGGAGCCCGGCGTCGGGAGCGGACCGGCGGCGTGCTACCCAGGTAAGCGCCAGGCCGGCCGCGCCCCTCCTCCTCCCGCCCGGCTCGGGCGCCTTCGGAACAGGCGCGGGTGTAGGAAGGACTGTGGGCCCAAGCGTCACTGAGAAGCACCTCTGAGGGGACGCTCCGGCCGGGCTGCGCCTCGGATCCCGCGGTCGGAGAACTGCCTGAGAGGTGTGGAAATGGCAGGGGGTTTATGAATCGTTCACTCAAAAATTAAGCTCTTGGAGAAAAAAAGTTTTGTATTGTGTTGGAATTTTTGTGTTTGTATTGTGTGAGAGTATCCATGTTATTGTTCTTTGTCGAAGTAAAATGCTCTTTTCTGTAGTGCAGTCCAGAAGTGAGGGATTTCTTGGGGTGTATTTCTTCTGTGGTTGCCGAGACACTGGTCTCTGGGCACTTCTGGAACGCTGTGGTCACGTCTGGATTCGAACCCAGACCTGAGGACACCGACTCTGCGCTGCAGGGTTAGCGAGGCTGTTGACAATCAGTCTTCAGATCTGTTTTCCGGGGCAGCTGGCGAGAAGGATGAGTGCTGGCACTTGTGTTTGCAGGGATCACTTTTTAGAGAGCGGAATTTTAACAGGGCAATGTCGAAGGCGTGGCGTACAAACCCTCAGTCACGGGACTTGAATTTTTGAACATCTGGGACTAAAACATCCTTCTTTTAAGTGATAACTGGGGAGAGGAATGCAGAGACGACTTCAAAGTTTGGTATTTTAGAGAAATGTCGGGAGGAAAAAGACAGTTTACAGAAGTGAAGGAATATTCTGATTTTTATTTCCTGTTTCAAACTCTTTTTCCTGCTTGGGGATTTTGTGTTCGCGGATCACTCACTCACTCACTGGATGTGATTGACTTTCTGGGGAAGATTCAAATACTAGTTTAACGGTCCATCAAGGCTCTTTCGTTTGGAGCAGGAAAAAAAAAAATTTCCAGGCTGAGAGTCCTGAGTCAAGTTCCCCCTTCTCTCACCACAGTTTGAGTCAGAATCCTTCAGTTGCCAGGTCTGGAGGAAGTGGGAGTGGACTTCACTGAGAATCAGAAGCTACATCCTAGGCCTCTGACAAGAAGGGCATTTTTGCAGGAGATGGGAAAGAACAGCCACATTTCATCTAGCCAACCCCAGACAGGAAATATGATAAAGAACTTAGAGATGGGTTCTTTATCATTCAAGCCAGCTGGTAGGGTTCAGAGCTAGAAAACAGTGTTGTGTTCGTGAAAACACCTGGGTGGGTGTTGTTTTTAGTTCCAGAAAAAATTAAATAGCAAAGGTGGCTAAAGAGCAGGCTTCTTGAGAAGAGGACATATGCTTTACTGGAAAGGTGAAAAACATTGGTTTGTGTTTTGGACTAAGATAACAGAAATTGCTAATGGCTCTACAGTATTGGTGAACAAGACTTTTATATTTATCTTCTATGGAAAGTATGTAAACCAAGTATTCTCTTTCAGTTGGAAAGATAAGGGGTTCCAGTGGGTTAATGTGAGCTCATTGTCTTGGCTGATAGATCATTTAAACTGCATCCTGTAATACCAAAAGATGGAGCTCCGAAAGCCACACAACCAAGCAGAAAGTATTTTTACAATGTTATCTTAATGTGCCAAATTCAGATTTCTACTTTTTCTACCTTAAGGACTTGGATATACCAAATTTGATGAGCAGTTTAAATACTGACAGTCATTTTACATACTTAATTTGAACCATTATTACTCTTTTTGGTCTGTGTTCATGAGGGCATATGTGGTATAGTAAAACAATGTCTTTAAAGGACAGTGCTTGAAAGGTCAGTTATTGAGAAAAGTGGAATCAGGTTTTGGTTAAATTTCTTTTGATGAACACTATCTTTTGATGACAGCTATCCTATAGCTATTTTAAAAGAGAATCACCTGGCCTCCAGGGAGAAATAGATACGTTGACTTAAAATCCAGGGCACCCTGTAGTTCTAGACCAATAATGCCTAATCTCAAGTGTACAGTATCATAGGCAGTGCTTGGGAAGTTCATGGAGGAAAAGTCAGTTAACTGTTTATGTAGTCTGTTTGTTGCTCATTATACCAATGTGTGAGAAATCAGGACAAGGTCATTTTTTTCCAAGTTATTGACTAGTTGATTTGTTATGAAATCTGTCCTTTATGTTCATGAAATATTTTTGTTTTGTAGTTAATTATGTTGCTAATGTTACATTAAAATTAACTCTTTGAGTTTTTTCATTTCCCAATTTTTAATTTTTCCGTTAAGTTTATTGGTACATTTTAGGTATAAAATACAGTTACATTCATCAATGGGATCTTGTACCTTTACATGAGTATCTTGGTTCTTATTTTTTTCCCTTTCCTCTGCCCTCCCTTCACCCCTTCCACCCTTCCCTCTTTGCAAAGACTTTGTTTCCGTTTTTTTCCTTTTCTCATATTTTTTCTTTTCCCTTCTTTCCTTTCCCCTA